TCATCTTGTCTAGATGGGTAGTGAAAAGAGATGGTGATAAGATTCATTAGATTCAATAGTGAATAACTGTTATCATGACTAATCGCGACTGTCACAATTGTAAAGGTAGAAGGTTTGTAACAAAAAAAAAACAGGGAGTGGTTAATCTTACAGTCCAGAAACAGAAGACCCTAGGATCATCAAGAGAGGAATGCACAAGCAGAATGCAGGACCTTATCCAGAGAAGCAGTGGAGCCAGAGATGGAGGCAGAGATGGGGGCATGGAGAGGGGGCGTGGCTGAGGACTCTAGATTCATGGACTGAGAAGAGAAGGACTAAGAACTGGTGGCCAGGAGCAGACTTGCAGAATGTGCCCTTTGGAAATATAAATTATTATATATGCCTGAGTAGTTTTTTTTTTGTTTGTGTGGTTTTTTAAAAAGCTAAAGTGGATAGAGAGAAATACGGTTAACTGATGGTACATGGAGGGGATTATAATCAATGTAATGAAACAAGGTATATGATTTGTTGAATGTAAAAACTGATGATCTGCTCTGCAAACTTTCACTCAATCCACAATAAAAACCTTAAAACAAAACCAGTTGCTATAATCTTCTGAAAAAAAAAAAAGGTTTAAATGACATTGTTTATGTTACATGTATTTTATTACAGTAAAATAAAAAATAAAATGTAGACTTTTTTGTTATTTTTTTATGTTAAGTGCTATCAAGTCAGTTCTGGCTTAGTTACCCTGTATAGGGTTTCCAAGAGCAGTTGGTAGGTTTGAACCACCAACCTTGTTATTAGCGGTCCAGTGCTGATCCTATAGCATCGCACCAGGACGCCTTTAACTTTACTGGGAAGGAGTATATGGGGGAGGATTGGGCCATATTAGAAATGTTTCTTTTTTCCCCACTGGTGTGGATAAGCACTTCATACTATAACGTGGTTTGAACCACCAAGTCAGCAGTTCAAAGTCACCAGCAGCTCCTTGGAAACCATATATTGGGTCACTATGATCAAAACTGACTCAGTGGCACTTAAAAACAAGTAAATAAATGGAAGGTCATTATATTATTTATATATTTAGTCTTTTAAAAATAATTTATAATACAAAAATATGCTCTGTTCTTCTCAGATTTCTGATGCTGAAAAACAGGTTCAGATACCTTGAAATTTAAATAGTTAGTAACCATTTAAAGTAGGTGAGCTGGAAATGGAATGGCGTTTTCATCTGAACTGCTAATAGGACTAGACCTGGTGCTATTTTGGATGACTCCTGCATTCTCTGAATGAAACCAGGCCCACTTTTGCATTCCTAGGCTCAGGCTCTTCTCCGCTGGCATGATGCCCATCAATTCTGCAGCAGGAGTGGGCAACCCACCCAGAAGAACATGGCTGGCAGCAAGCGTGTGTGCCCTTCCAATAAGATCATCTATTATCCACAGGTAAGCAGGTGTGGCGCTGTGGGTTAATGCGCTGGACTGAAAAGTCGGTTTGAACCACAATGCTGGCCGTTCAAGCTCACCAGCCTCTAGTTGGAGACCCTATACAGGGTCGCTATGGGTCGCTATGTTGTAACTGCACTTAACAACAAGAAGCAGTACTTTAAAAGGACAGTAATCCATGAAGGCTGGACACTATTACTCTCAAAAGATTTTCTTTAATTGTCCACTCCTTCATCCCCAATACATACTTCCAAAACCCCAGCGTCTCAGCCTTGGTCCCCTTCTCTTTAGATGGCTCCTGTGGTGATCACTCTGGTGTCCGATGGATCCCGATGCCTGCTTGCCCGCCAGAGTTCCTTTCCCAAGGGAATGTATTCTGCCTTGGCAGGTTTCTGTGACATAGGTAAGGAGTTGAGGGCACGTGCAGGTGACATTGAAGGACATGCAGCTTTATAGTTCACTGTCTTGTTGTCACAGTACCCAGGGTCTCAAGTACATTCTGCCCTCAGATGTCAAGAAAAATGCCCCTTGACATCTGGCAACGGGGTGGTTACGGGTCTGGCTGCTAACCTCAAGTTTGAAACTACCAGCCATTCCACAGGAGAAAGATGAGGCTTTCTGTTCCCTTGAAGATTTAGAGCCTCAGAAACCCTATACTATGAGTCAGAACTGATTCCATGGCACTTCACCACCACCATTATTTTATTAAGCAAAATTTCAAACTTACAGAAGTCGAAAAAATGATACAGTGAACACCCATACACTCACCACCTACATCCTCCCACTTTGAGTATACTCACTTTATCACATACGTGTCCATCTCTCCATTCCTCAATCCCTCCATCACTCTGTCATGTTTTCTGATTGGTTAGTTGGTTATGTGCTGTAGAGTTGGTTCCGACTCACAGTGACCCTGTATGGGATTTCTGAGACTGTAAACCTTTACGGGAGCAGAAAGCCTCTTTTCCTTGCGGAACTGCTGATAGTTTCAAACAGCTGACCTGGAGCTTAGCAGCCCAATTTGTAACCACTTTGCTACAACTGTTGGTACACTTTTTGTTAAATGCTTCATGATGCATAGTTGTAACAACTAGAATTTGACATTCATAGACAGTGTTTTTGTTTTTTTTTGTTCTGGTCTTTGCTGTAAAATTTGCATATGGTGAAAGGTGGCATTAGAACTGTATTGAAGTGGGTGGCAGTGGCTTCTCACACTGTCTCTCCTACTTTGCCTCATAACACACTTAGTACCTGTAAGCACTGCAGTTCAACACCCAACTCCAGACCTCATTCCTGTTGTTGTAGACATTTGGAATTTGGAGAGCTCCCCAACGTATTTCATAGAAACTTTGGAGCCACCTTTGTGCTCCTTTGCAAATGGGCTATCTGTATCACCTTTCCTGCTGCAGGGCTGTCCTGAATTAATCTGAGTGCTTGTAGGTGAAAGTCTGGAAGAAGCTGTGCGGCGGGAAGTTGCAGAAGAGGTGGGACTAGAGGTGGAAAGACTGCAATATTCTTCATCTCAGCACTGGCCCTTTCCTAATAGCTCCCTCATGATTGCTTGTCATGCAACTGTGAAACCTGAGCAGACAGAGGTAAGTTCTTCTGCTCCCTTTATGCTTTAATCATTCCTTTGCTTCAGCCCTCTGCTAGTCAGTAAGTATCAGTCTACTTTACAGCTCATCACGGTCTAGGTAACACAAAGCTGTAAAGTACTACCAAGGAAAGAAGTGATCACTATGAAAATTGAGTCAGCTAATATGACCAACCATTTCTCAGTCATGAGACAACTTATCTTTCAATACCAGGATTTAACAAGAGTGCCTCCACAGATAGTTAGTAGGTGTATTTGGCTTTCTATATCCACAGGTTCTGCATCTGTGGATTCAACCAATACAAAAAATATCTTAAGAACAAAACAAAAACCAAAGTTAATTAGGTAGTTATGAAAAATCACTCAGAGACCATATCTGATTTCCTCTGGCTTCACCAAGGGGAAGGAGAATCAAACTAAAAATTAGCCCAAGGCTGATTCCTATGAAGCAGAGGTCAGACATGCCTCCAACCTACAACCTTCTTTAGTCTATTCTGACACCAACCATCCCTCCCACAGCACTCTGCTTCACATCTGGGCCCATAATCCATTGCAATGGCCACACTGGATTCATAACAATCCTTACGATGATGAGGTTAATTAGGGAAGTGAACAGGGTACAATTCAGACTTAGAAACCACTCAGGATGCAGCTGGAAGACAACTGTCTGGCCGACTGATTGGAAGAGATCAATGTTT